CAACAAAATCGTACCTAATGCCTTTGAAGGAGGTGGAACTGGAATGTGCCTCTAATTGTGTGGCGAAGTGGTAGAAAATAATGGTTTTTGTTTTAGGAGTAATTATTGTTTCCTTGTTTGGATGTAAATACAAAGTTTAAATATCTGACCAGTATTGAGGGTATTTTTCATCGTTCTTACATGCTAGCGCTGCTACAGGCGTTTGCCGAGCATCTGGAAAGCACGTGCCGTCCGGCTGTTGTCCACACGTTTTCAAACAGCCATCAGCTTTGTTTTGCTTTCGTTTCGATGAAAATATTTTTCAGCTGGCTATGTTCAAGAAAATTTAGCTGACCATAGTATGAGCTCTCTAGCTCTTTGTCATGTTAATGGCACCAAACTTCACGAGTCCTGGTCAGTATAGGGTCTTTCTTCGAGACGGCTTTGACGCAAGAGAAAGGAAAGGCAACAGACAGCCTTGCAATGTCGCCAATCAAAGATATCTGAAGCCGGAATAAGTGATACAAGTTCTGTTTTGCCTTTTTCTAGGTCTCGATCAGTATTGGCACGCCAACCGTGGTCGGCTCGTCACTCTCCCATCTGGCAGCCTAATTGGTTATTGTGTCGGTCGCAGCTGTCGTTTCCATTCCTGCACTATCATCCAACCAGCTGCTCTCAGTCCTTGCTGATGCTGACGGCTTGTAGCCATCGCCTTTATTCTCACCGAACTTTCAACGATAAAACTCTCCTCAATTTGATATTATGATGATTATAATTTCGTGATTATAATTTGATGTTTTTAACAGCATTCTTAAATTCCACCTTAACATCTACCAGGGTTAAAGTTTCCAGTGTTCATTGTGTGCAGAAGAATATAAGGAACTGTTCGGCTTAGGAGGAGGGGACAATCTACAACTCCGCATTGCTAGTTTCTCTGATATAACAAATTCCACCTTGTGAAACTGCACTCTTGTGAAGTATTGTATAAAGGAGCTCATGCTCTTAAAAATTAAAATTAATTAAATTATTAAAAAAGATTTAAAAATTCACAGTTTCTCAAAGGAGGCAATAGCAGTGTTCGATGGAAACCTGCAAGATGCCCCAACAAGCCGAACAGCAAAAGAATAACACGGATTTAAGTTCATGAGTCCCCTCATAAATCTGAATTATCGATTTTTTCTCGACAATCATTTGCCATCGACCAACCAAAAATTAAGATGCACACTTCCTTACCTTCAGATGGCCTTATAGACCACGTAGCCCACAAGTTCTCAATTAAATGAAAAATTGGTGAATGACGCTAGGGAGAATGTCGCTCCCAGTAGAGCACAATTCAGGCTCATGAAATCGAAGACAGGATTCTCGGATTAGATTTTGGGATTCCTTACCTTCAAGGCAATAGTCAGCTCGCGGTAATCCAGTAAATTCAGTGGGGCGTAAGGCTGATTGCAGTTGGGACCCTGCCAGTTCAAACCAGGTGCTGAACACGCTTGTAACAGAGCATGAAGCAGGGTGGGGGGGGTGGGGGGAAATCATTGGCAACACACATCCAGCAAAGTCACCAGTCTCAACAAACGGCGCACGGTTGAGGTAAGCTGCAGTTTGCAACATTGCAGCCGCTGCTGTTTGCTACTTTACTACTTCAACAGCTCCTTGAAGCGTTGGCATGAAAAACCAAAATAGCAGTGATAGATTATTCACGTGACATATCATATCGTTCTGGTCACCAACCAAAAATACTGGGCACAAATGCCCCTTCAAAGAGTACAGCCGTTCTAAGCTGCAACATTGCAGCTCTGCTGTCCTTACTTGGCCTTCTCAGTTCTGTGGCTTCCCTTCTGAAGATGGGGAGGTCTATGTTTTGTTCAGGCTCTGCCACACGGCTCGCGCAAAATAGAGGCTGAGCTACCTCTTCGCTTTCGGCTCCCTCAATATTCCCTATTTGCTTGATTTCTCAACCCAGTCGATGGTCTTTCATCCTCCGTGATTATTCTTACATTTCTTTCTTCGGCTATCGGGGCTCCAAAGATGGCGTATAACCTAAGCCGAAGGCTGCAATGTTAATATCTTTCATATGACTGCTTAATCAAGCTCTCACATGGTTGCCAACATTCAGAACTCTAAAAAAGGAAGAATTAAGAGGGTAGTTCAAAGTATTCTCGGTATCCGGTAATTTAGCAGTGCAACAAATTTGAAGGCAGTTGGCAAGATGATCTGGTACTCAATCTAAAATGCTAACAGGGTGCTGTATAGTGTGAAAATGTCAAAAAACGAAGTTAAATGGTCACAAACCTTTTAAAAAAGCCGTCTTTCTTAATGACTGACAAAGCCTTCGGACAAGTTTCCCGCAGGCCTCGTCCTAATAACCGCCTACTCATATACCCATCAGGGCGCATCGTTGTTGGAGATTCCCCAACAGGGGGGTCGTATTTGTTTTCTTCCAGGTAGGTGTTGGAAGAAAACGCAAATAAAAAGGCAAAAAATGCACCTTGAAGGGGGGGGGTCGTATCGATCCGCATTTTAGGGAGGGGGGATCGTACAGACTCGACCAAAATCCCCAACCAATGATGTGCCCTGATATCCATGCAGCAAGGCGCTTCATATCAATCTCATCGCTTCATATTTTACTTCACGAATGAAGCAATACGAGCACCAGAAACGGTCGTCCATTTGTGGGCGGGTGGCGCGGTGGGCGTCGGTGTGATCGCGGTGGGCGTCGGGTCGGTATGTTGTAGCTTGATAGGGCCTTATAAGGGTACCTCCCTTTGGAAAGGCGCTACGCAGCGCCTGCTCAGGGCGCGGAATTCCGTCCTGCCAGGCGTATCAATCCTTCTTGTCTTAGGGACATATCGTGCCAACTGCCTTTGAATCATTTCAATAGGTAACGACACTCTCTGAGGGTATAAACATATTTCATTTAGTTATCATCAATGCCATGCTAGTTACCCTTGGTGAAAAAAGAATAGAATTACTGTGCGAGAAATAATGCTGAAATCTCCCCTTAAAGGCAAATCCCACAACCACAGACGGCGTACCAAAAACGCAGAAAAACTTCCGAAATGCCATATATAAGCCGTGCCATGCCGATTCAACTTGTACGTGCATACAATGAAAAGAAAGCGTATCCGCACGAATTTCCACTGGTTACCATCATACTAACAACACCCCTTTTCCCTTATCATCTCAACTCACCTTTCGCAATGGATAGAGCATGCAGAGGGGCTACTAGATAGTGGCTAGGAGCCGGGGTTAGCATGGGCCAAAGGGGCGCTGGTGAGTTTAACTCTTCGGCTTGCACTCAATTTCTTGCAAGTTCTCGTTTTTTGATGCAGTGCAGCCTCTACAATCGCTTACTGGATCACCTGGAATTGAGAAGTTATAAAGTCCTTAGAAGTATGAGGAACCTATAAGGGCTAGGTCGCAACACATTCTGTGGTGTTTTCTTTCACGGCGGGGACAGAGAGGAAAGGCCCTTCGCTCACGACTTGTAAAATTTTTCTTCAGATTTACTGTGATTCTGATATTGAAATTGCATGGGATCGTAATCTTGGATATGTTTCATGATGAACTAGAGTCAGGCAAGTCGTGCTCCTGGAGCGCCGACGGCTACCGACTCACCGCGTGTGTGAACAGTGGATAGTCACTGGTTTCTACATGGATTAAGATTCCACCTTCTTTCAGACTCGTTGTGATTTTGGCAATGACGATTTTGATAATGGTCCCTACAGACCTCAAGGGGCCGGCTGGTGTACAAGTTAGTGGTTTTATCCCTCCACACCAGATTAGCACCGAAGTTGCCCCACCGCGAGGAACGAACATTGGTCGGCACAGCCACGGTGACCTGCGCCACTTGCCAACAAGAATCTGTAAAATCCTTCAACCTTTCACTCAGATCTCCATTCTTTCATGTGAATGCGGGCTCCTTTCATCAAGTAAAAGCGACCCCCGTTCAGGAGAACGACCCATTGCCTGAACCACGCTGCCTTGTTTTCTTGCCTCACCAGACATTTTCATTTCAATCGTACAGCTGGTTCATTCCGCATCTCAATCATATCATAACGCCTCAAAAATACTCAGCCGCTCAGACAGCTGGTGTGTTTTCAATGAGCCAGAAAGGAGATTTGTTTTCACATCGGCTTCATAAACGACTCCACCTGTCGTTGCAGCTTTCTGTCTGTTCGGAATCGGCCAATCATCTTCACACTCCTTTATGTCGTTGCTTAGGAGCTAGTCAGCTGTACGATGCTCTCTGTACCTTTTCCAATATGCTCTTATTAGTCAGAGGTATGCTATTGGAGAGGCGTGGTGAGTTAGCCCATCCAACGTTCCAGTGGCTACGCCAACAACCTGACCTAGACCTGTCCATCCCCCCCCCGAGTAGAAGACTGAATTTTCAGGTTTTCCCCGCATGATTCCCGGATATAGAAGATTTTGGCTTCTTGTATTACTCCCACCATTACAACTAAAGGTACAGCACCGAAGAAACAAACTTGAAAACTTGGAACAGGGATTCGAAGCAGGCAACGAAGCACGGGAAGATTCGGTAACGGTACCCAAGAATGAATCTCGCGATGATGAACTGGCCGCATTAAGGTCTGTACCTCGGTCCTAACGCATACTCATGAGCATGGAAAATCTAGCAGTTAGTGGAAAGTGAAAAAGAGCAGCACACGTTTTTCAATGAGAATGAAATCGACTACCAGAAAACACCAGCAGGGCACTCTAGGGTCGAGGATGAGGGTTCCTTTCAATACTGGTATTAATCAACCGAATAATTGTTTGAAACTATGTTGAAAATTCTGTTGTTTTTTGCCTTCGTTTCCTGGTTGAAGTTTGATCAAGTACCTTTGAGCAATAGACTGATTTTACCGGTTGACTTCTGTGTGTTTTGATGTGTGACTACAATCATCCCAGATTTTCGGTCCGATACAGTTGATGCCCCTCTCCGTTTGTATATACATCGCAGATGCCGGGTTGACGTGAATATGGGTATTTTCAGGGATACAGTTGAGATAGTGGAGATGCTGCGGCGTCGGCTGCTTGCCGACAATTTTTCAAAGGAAGCGTCAGAAAGCGAACCACTCGATTTGACAGTTCCTAAAAGCGGGTGATCATTTTCTCTTTATATTGTACAGGTAGAGTAGAATTCCTGGTGAAGCAAGACCGAAGAATACGCAGTACATTATCACTTGTCAAATGTACTAAACACTGGCGCGCCAGTAGAGGAGTCAGTTTTGATGCGGAGTTAGCCCATTCCGCAAAGGTGAGCCTAGTACAGCATCGTTGTGTGAAACATAACATGGGGGTGGGGGGTGGTACTTTGCCGCTGGGGAGGGAGGTCGTATTTGCTCGTTGTTGGGAGAAGGGGATCGTATGTGCCTTCGAGAGGAATTCGCGGCCGCGTTGGGAGAAATTTTCTCGGCGTTTTGGCTTTTTGAGGTTTTTGCCGTTTCACATTGGCTACACTGTAGTTCGCTGCGGACGGTGGGGCGTGTCATCCAGAATGAGTGTGCACAGCAAACGAAGCCGTATCTATGCCTTTTGGTATGGGAAGCGCGCATGACAAAAATGTTTAGAAAAGTAATACGAACGATGTGATACAGCGTTGTCACTTGCTAGCTTCAACAACTGGTGGAGAATGAGTTTGGCACCGCGCCAAACGCAGCCGCACTGACACGCCCAACGTTCAGCAGCGACTATATGTGCCTCCCTTCCGGCTCGATCCTCGACTGTGAAAAATTATTGGGTGAAAACTGAAAAAATGTGCGGGAATTGTCGAAAAAACTTGCGGTAGAGCTGTAAACGTTTGAAAGTGGTACGTAGGTGTGTGGAGAAGGGGGGGGGGAGGTGTGTCGACACCAACATTTCATACATCACAATGCTGTACCCTGAAGGCATGTGCACAGGTGCCAAAGCACACGTCTCCCTGACACGCCCCGACTGACTTCATTGTTAAGGGGTGTACCAAATAGAGAATGTCGATAGTACTAATTAGTAAATATATATGACGTTAGTCGCGCGCAGTTCATAGCACCATATGTGCGTGTAGTTACTAGGTGATCGCTTAAGTTTAGTCACACTACTTGCAGCCACGCAATCGATCACACTCGTCATCGTCTATCTTTCTGGTTCCCAGTCGACCGATATGTCGCGCATACAGCGACAATCAATCAATAAAAGACCGCGTCGCATACGCACGGGACGGTTAGGCCAGGGAAAGTCCAGGCCCAAGTCAGCTATCTCCTTGTGTTAGTAGGCATTGCCTAAAGCATTTTCATTGCGTACGTCTCTTTTCTTCCTTCATGAGTACGCCGAGCACTCGGAATCCCGGATTGTCTAGAGTGGCCCTCCATTACCGATGCATACATCGCCGAGCAATAAGAGTCAAGCATGGTACCAAATCAGCGTCCTCGGCGAGTAGAAGGTTTGGTTGGCCTGGAGGGAGCCTATCTGGCCTTTCGGCCTCACCGCGCGCGTGATAAGCATGCCACTTTCACTACAGACCTTCGCCAAGCCTCAATAACTGCACCAAACATTTTTTCAATCTCGCAACACCAGTATGGTGGATGACACATCGACATTCGCTCTACCATTCTAGAATAATATTTTTTCAGGATCGCGCACCATATATCAGAGAGTATGCTCTGTGAGACAAAGATGGAAAACGACAGTAGCAGCCAACTGTTGATGAAACTTGTACAACAGCAACTACTGCTCTCGATGTTTTCGCGACCAGAACTGAAAATTACCAGGGAGCTCGAGGGCGCATGTGAGAAGCGAATGTCAGAGCCAGTTGAACAAAGAGAGAAACCCGTTGGAAATAGGCGAAGGTAACATAAAATCGTTCCCATGCTGGACAATTTTATGCGTCAAACACAGACAGAAATGCAGTCAAATTTGCAGCCGTTTTAGGTCTGAGGCAAATGCCCGAGAAAGAAATCGCGTCCAGCACCTCGGTGATATGTTTGATCGGTTGAAGTCCGTTCTACCAATTGAGCTAGATGTGAAGATCTCCAAACTCGCAACCCTAAGGGTATGGTGCTTTTTTGACTCCTCAGTTCTCATATAATACCGTTCTCCAATTCAAATGGAACCAGAGCAAGCATTCTGAGTACCGTTTTTTAACGGATTCATCCACATTGGACTGCCTGTAGACCGAGAAGGCCGAAATCCTATAAGTGAAAAGGCGTCCACGAGATCCGAAAGATGAGATTAGAGAGAAGATAGACAGCAACGCTGGTACCCTTCACGTATTTCGGGGTGAACACATGTTCGGTGGTAGTGTCCTCAGCGTCAAGCCCCTAGGGCCTTTATTCTTCACCACTGTGCCGTAAGATCGTCACTGCCTCTGTACTAACAAATACACTCTTATCTCACTCAAGAAGGAGATTCCTCCCCTCAGCTGACTGCGAAGTGCCCGTTCAAAGTGAAGTGGATAGGTTGAACTCACGTAGCACCTCCTCGTACTCGCCTGTGGAGAGAACGTGTGAGGCGGGATGATCTCATTTAATTAGCTGCACTTGTTACTGACCTTTCACCAATTAGAAACAAAGAAGAAAAATCATTGTCGGCGCCCATTAAAGACTCAGCTCCATGGAACCACTTTTAATTTGCTTATGCGTTCCATAGTGCGCACAAGAAAATCAAAACTGGTCATGGAACTCAGGCCATTTATTGAAATAAAGGATAAAGGATAAAGTCTTCGCCTTCGATCAATCCCTTTGTGGGATGCGGCACGCATTCTATTTCCATTCAGAATCGTAGTGGGTTCTTGGATGCCATGTGACCTATACAATGATTTTGTGGGGCTGGTCAATGCACAAGTCAGTGTCCTTATCCCTCCCAAAAACGATTCTGATACTAAATTTACCTTCCGGAGCATTAGTGGAAGGCTTGGGTGGCAGACCCCGGCATTTAACCCATGACCGGCGCGAGTGCTGAGCGCGCCTGTCATGCTTGTCACCGCACGGCCTCCTGCCCTTTTTACCGAATTGAAAGAAATTATTTTCCGCTTTTGGGAACAACACTATATGAGCATCAGTTATCATTGGCGACAGACTACACGCACGTGTAGAGAATAGTCCTTACTAAAAACTAACAAAATCTCATCTTACACGACCTTTTCGAAAATACCTTCGAGGAGAAATTATAGCAGTTATCAATATATGTCCTTAGCGGACATTGGCCTCAACGCACAACCTTTTTTCTTTTTTTTTTTTGAAAGCGTCAGTCTGACAATGGGGCAGAGATGATGCCTCAACCGTAGGTTTTCTGGCTGCATTTCGGTTTTTTTACAGTTTACCACTGGACTTTAAACAAGGATAAATTGTCGCAAGGAAGGCTCAAGTATTGTCTGACCGTCGAATTGCATGGGTATTTGGGCCGCAATAATAATGTTGTCAAGAATATTGTTAAGGAACCTGCCACAAAGTATGAAATCAACAAAGAGCCGCTGGATGTCTCCGTCGAGCAGGCTTTTCGAATATCAGCACCTTTACACTGCAATGTCTGTCGAGAGTAAATTTTCCAGTAATTTGTCTGTGAAGTCACTGATCTTAAAGGCGATGGCAATCATTTGAAACTCCAGTTTACTTGTCGGGAGGAAAATGACGAGGGCACCGTTCTTGAAGAGAAAACGGCTAACCTGGGTCGCCTTAGATTGGATACTGCTGAGCAACGCGACTAAGGCTAGCTTTTAGCTGCGATACCCCACTTCTAGTTTTACTTTCTTTTCAGATTTTTTCTCTAGGTCGAGTTTTCGATAAAAAAAAATCCCCTGCGACGGCATTCATGCGGTTACCCACCCTACTAGCACGACCTGAGGAAAAACAAGCTTTATTTCCTCATGCTCCAGATGGCACCTTAGAGCACCGGGTTTTGTGGTCTGGGCTGCCATCGCATCAGGGGACGTCTCGTGCATCGTATCGGCGAATATGAACTCTTCCATTAGAGTTAACGACATGCAAACACCAGATCACTGCTCTTTTTAGTCACAAACTCGACACGAAAATCTCCCCTGCTCAGAAACAACCAATCATTTCAGGCCCAGCCCTCGGAGCGTTGATCGAATTCCTTCTGCCCTGGGAGCAGATATTCCCTATTTTAAACAACTGAAAATGGTGGGCGAATTCATGTGTCTATGCCACAGGATGAATCCCCAAAATATCAGCGAAGCTCAAAATCAGTCATGCCACCATGTAGAGAGCTTAGTGGCAAACCCTAGTCGAGTATGGGCAACCGTATTCCTCAACTTATTCAGAGAAATGGAGCCGCATTGGATTTTGAACTAACAAACTCCCATTTAGTAGTGTACTGGTTTTTGGATGACTAGATTTGTTCAGTGGAACAATCAGTTCCGATCAGTTCGTTTCCATCAGAAAGATTGTTCTCCGAAAAGGTATGAAGGAGAAATCTCATGCTTTCAAGTTGGTGATTGGTGTTGGCATACCAGCTGGCATTGATAATTACCACATTTCGCCTTTTTTGAAGACGCCGTGTAAGACGAGTTTTGCGAAATTCAGAGATGGGACCATCATTATGTACCACATGCTTTACTACTGAACCTATACTCTCTCTTGATGTGCTTTCATTACAGATCGCATCTGCGTACATACGTTACCTCGGTTGTGTGCTGGATGCCGAGAACGTCTGCCGTCTTATGGAAAGCGAACAGTCATTGATGTTGAGTATCTGTGAAGCACGAAGCTGTCCAAAGAAATTGTAAATAATGTATTTTGTTGTGTGGTGACTTCCCTCTTCAGCCGTAGTACATGGTGATCTCAGTAAAAGATTTCTACCTCCCTTTCAATCTCTGAAACTTTTCTCAGTTTTCGAAGTGTGTTTATACATGTAAAAACGCTAACAGATTGGAGACACCCATACAAAGCTGTCAACCTGTAACACTAGAACCTACTGAGAAAGTTGTGCAGGTGTTAGGTGGTGCACTAATTCGACCACGTTCAAAGTTATACGGATCATTTATGGACATCTCAGAAACGCAAGTCAGGTGCTGATTCGTGTGTTGGGGTTGGGGGGAAGGGGCAAGGAATAGACATTTTTCTAATTCGCTAATTTCTCCTTCTAGTTTTTTTCTAGCATACGTGTCTCTTCTAGCATACGTGTCTCACCTTGATGAAACCCATAAACTCCTGTAAAGTGTAAACTTCACAGGGTTCCACAGGAGGCGTAGACGATGATAGGTGGGGACTAAAAAATGCCCTCATCGGGCCAACTTGCGCCGGAAGCTACCGCATTGACAGGCGAAATGTGAAGACTGTCACCACAGAAAACACTCCAGTGAAGACTTAACAAGGCTCATCTAGTCAGAAGACCAGCCTCTCACGGCAAGGTCCAGCTCCAGAGGTCTGCATCAACCACAACAACATCTGCCAAACTCAACAGCACAGTTGTATCTATAGGAGCGCTGACGCTGAGCGAGTTCGTTCGAGATGGCTAGAAAAGAGGTCCACTCGAGTGGCTTCGCGGCCGCTTCGCTTCAATTTTTATCATT